GGAAAAATCATGTCTTTTTTTAATTTTTCAGTCTAAATTTCTTCTCTGTTACCTAAGAAACTGTTAGGAAAGACTTTATGAACGACATTCATGAAATACTGAAGCACATCATATCTAAGATACTGACAGCTACTGCAGCAGCTCCATTATAATAGAATGTGACCTGATGGCACAACCTATATTAGAAAAGTTATGCAAATTGCTTGATATGATTCTATATCAAGCAAGCTAAAAAAACCAAAACTGTGATGTTCATGCCCTTCAACAGAACACCAGCTTGATCAACACCAAGAAGAAGCTGGAGACAGACATTTCTCAGATTCAGAGCGAAATGGAGGATACGATCCAGGAGGCCCGCAATGCTGAAGAGAAGGCCAAGAAGGCCATCACAGATGTGAGTCGGGGCTCCTTTCATTGCTGATGGGGATGTATTCTCCCCAAAATATCTCCAGCCACACAAGGGCCTTGACCTTTTGCTCTGCTCAGGCGGCCATGATGGCAGAAGAGCTGAAGAAGGAGCAGGACACCAGTGCCCACCTGGAGAGGATGAAGAAGAACCTGGACCAGACGGTGAAGGACCTGCAGCACCGTCTGGATGAGGCCGAGCAGTTGGCCCTGAAGGGAGGCAAGAAGCAAATCCAAAAGCTGGAGGCCAGGGTGAGTAGGGCTGTGTTGGTGCATGAGTGACCCCGTCCCTTGGAGAGACACCCCCAGGGAAGCTGCAGGGACGGGCTTCTCATTGCAGGTGCGGGAGCTGGAAGGGGAGGTTGATGCTGAGCAGAAGCGCAGCGCTGAAGCCGTGAAGGGTGTGCGCAAGTACGAGAGGAGGGTGAAGGAACTCACCTACCAGGTAAGGCTGGAGGCTTCTTTGCATTGCCTTCCTGGTAGAACAGCGTCTCAAAACGTTGGAACATTGCCTTCCAGAGGGATTTCTTTCTATACCTCAGACAATGACAGAGTTAACTGGATTTTGACACCTGTCCTTCTGGACTGCAGTGTTCCATAAACTATATTATTCCCTCTGTTTCACATTTATGAAATTTAGAGAATGATGTAAACAAGGTTTTCTGTTACTTGCCGTTCTCTGTAGTCTGAGGAAGACCGGAAGAATGTTCTCAGGCTGCAGGATCTGGTGGACAAGCTGCAAATGAAAGTGAAGTCCTACAAGAGGCAGGCTGAGGAGGCTGTAAGTACCAATTTGAGCAAACCAGACTTCCTTCTTGTCAAATTCTGTGTTGATATTTTCTTCTGTTCATCTTTTTGAAACCTTGACTGTTTTCATGCAACATGATGACGTTTTGACACAACACGGAATGTGAGAGTAAGACTTTCTGGGTTTGGGAAGAACTATCCTTCTCCAATTCTGTTTTGCTCTATGCCTCATTTCCCACTCTGTTTCTTCCTTCACACCCTACTCTGGGCGTCAGAGGCAGCTGCCAGTCTGCCTATTGAGGACTCTGACATGAACTCTGCCTAGACCATGCTGTGTGTAATGTCGCCACGGTCTTTTTGACATTGCAATATTCTTTTCTCTTCCGACATACTTAACACTCTGAACAGCTTCTTGTCTTGGTTGTGAACCTGCTCTGCTAGTCCAGCTGTGGCATTTGAATTTTTCTTTGCCCAGTTTTCAGATATTAAATGTCCACATGCTGTCTGTTGTTTTCACAACTCCCTCTCCCCACACAGGAGGAGCTCTCCAATGTCAACCTCTCTAAGTTCCGCAAGATCCAGCATGAGCTGGAGGAAGCCGAGGAACGGGCTGACATTGCAGAGTCCCAGGTCAACAAGCTCCGAGTGAAGAGCCGGGAGTTTCATAAGAAGGTAGCAGAGGAGGAATGAGGTTCCCAAAGCTAAAAAGTGACCTGAGGCATGCATAAAATGTAAACCTCTGTGTTGCTTTCTTCTGTAATTATCATTTATGTGTAGGTAATAAATACAGTAGAGACCTTTGCATATGAACAGTGCATGCTTTATTTATTCTAGCATTCATTACATTTAAAAGTATGTCAAAGAGCATTACATTTTTACATCTGCACTTTAAAAGTGCATGAAAAATAGTAACGATTATATAGATTTATTATTCCTCTTGCAATGAGAAGTATGCACTTCTTTGATGGACTAAGACTACATTCTTCCAAGTTATTTTGATCAATACTTTCGGAAAAAAAATAAAATAAAAGGAAAAATATTCCTGAAGCATTTAACATACACACACACACACACACACACACATATATATATTAAAATATGTGTGTATATATATATATATCATTTTTATTAATTGAAAAACTTATTTGGTTAGGTTTAATGGTATGGGAAACTCAAATTTCACTCCAAGCATTGACAAGCAGTCCAACCAATGTGGTGAGGCAGAGGCATGAAGAGATATCCTCACTCACTTTCTCTGAAGTTATTTTGTTTCATGCATAGCACAAATCATACACATTCACATGTGGGATAAGTAATGAGAATCCACAGTTAAAAGACTATGGAGGAAAAAATAGGTAAGGCTGTAGATTCTGTTTATAATTTGAGTCAAGCCCTCCCTTGCCTTTCTAGGCTCACCCCTTCCACTCTGTCCACAGCCTGACTCTTCTGCCTGTTTATTGCCATTTTCAACATACTGGGCCTGTTCATTTTCCTAAGAACAGCCTAGAATATAATATTTGCATTAAGCTGAACTAGACATTCAACAATTACATGTTGATTGAAAATGTAACATAAAGTACAGCCCTGGTTAGGTAAGGTCCCTAACTACTGATCACGCTTTGGAACACATTCAGTGTGTCTAAGTGCCTGGTAAATTAGAAGTGAAGCTGAATAGGGACTCCTATTACTGATAAATTTGTTTTTGCCAAGACACAGTGTGAGACTGACTTGGTTGGTATTTTTGGCATATGGTCAAGCTTTAGCAGCTACCTCAAACTTGCTGTTTATTTAAAGCATGTGCTAAACATCTTCGACCATCCCACCAGAATTGTCAATCCGTAGCTGACCTTCATGTGTCCCTTTTGGATAGCTTTTCTAATCCTTCAAGTGCCGTAAAACCACTGCTTTAAAATGCTAAGGGTTCTTAATAAAACATGTAAATAATATTTGAGCAGCAGAAGACAGCTGAAGTTAGGAAGGGACACTACTCCACCCATTTTAGAAACCACAGTTCAGGATCCACCATAGCTGAGCATCTCTGAGGCTTTTGGTGCTCCCTTGAACCCTTTGGGTTATTTGTATGAGCAGCACCCATCTTCCCTGTGACTGATAACACTAAACACAACCCCACTTCATGGCCCATCTCAGGATGTGTCACTGTACTACCATGTGCCCTGCTATTCCAAGGGCTCATCAGAGACCTCCAGGAACACATCACAGTTTTTGGTATCAATCACATTTCAGAAAGGGGGCAGGGTGAACAAGGGAACTGAACTGAGCTGAGCAGGAAAAGCCTCTTTTCTGCTCTTTTAGTACATTTCATCTCCCCTGCCATCCAAGGGTTTCGTGCTGAGCCAGAAACCCTGTGGGGACAGATCTCGGCTGGAATTGGGGCACCACAACACTCCTGCCTACCACACAGGCCATAATCCAGAGGGAAATGCACCTGGAGCCAGCTTCAGGAGCTGCAGTAACCAAAGGGACCCTCTGCCGACAAGGCAGAAGAGGCAGAACTTTGTTCTGCTAATACACTTACCCGTTTGGCTGTGCATCATGAGATAGATCATTTTTATTTCCCCATGTAGCTGCTCACCTACATCCAGCTTCTCCACCGCAAAAGCAGGGGATGGGAGGGGAGCAGAGGGAGCCGAGAGGGAGCAGAGGTGGCCGGGAAGGCGCGGAGGGGGGCCGGGAGGGGAGCGGAAGGGGCCGGGAGGGGAGCAGAGGACGCCGGGAGCGGTCGGGCAAAGCTGGAGGGACGGGAGGCTCCCTCAGTGCCCGCGCCAGCCCTTCCGTGCAGCGATGGGCGCCCCTGGCCGGCGCCCCAGGGCAGGGGCCCTGGCGGGGGCAGTGCGGGAAGGCACGCGAGTGAATACCAGCCGTGAGCTGGTTTTAAAAGCTCCTTCGATGGTCCGTCCCTCTCTCTGGGAATTTCAGAGTTCCCTTTCTCTTTTCCCTATTTTTCAGCCTCGGTCACCCCCTGCTTTGCCTCGACACCTTCCTGAGCTCTGGCTGGGTCGCCTCACCCGCGGCACAGCTGTTGCAGGCCAGGGCGGGCTGAGGGCCCGAGGCCCCGCCGGTGCCAGGGCTGACCCTCTGGCAGGGCTGTCCACTGTGCCAAGGCTGTCCCTGTGCCAGGGCTGTCCCTGTGCCAGGGTTGACCCTATGGCAGGGCTGTCCTTGTGGCTGTGCTGCACTGCTGACCACACCGCTGGGACCCACAGACGACCCCCTGCCCCCCGAGGTGCTCTGCTCAGACGTGGTGCCCATCCAGACTGGCTGCACCCTCTGTGTCAGGACAGCACGAGGAGGGAGGGGAGCATGGGGTGAGCCTGGCAGAGGTGGTAGATGGAGAACAATACTGGGGCATGATACTTGTTTAGTCCTTCCTTCTGCCAATGAGAAATGGCATTGCCTATGTAGCACTGTGATGGCAGATAGGAAGGTATCAGTGAATCAGTAGAGACCCAGACGACTTCTAGAATATACCTAAAATGTGAAATAATTTATTTTATTCTCTTTATACTTTTTTACCCCTTTTTTTAAAAAATGTATCATTAGTCTTTATGTCCTTTCAGTTTACAGTAGTTTGTTTAATGAACGTCCTCAGCAATCAGTTGCAATTGCTTTCTGGCTGGTGTTTACCAACAATTTATCATTGTTGACTTCTTGGAAAGCTGCATTGTTAACCCAAACTGAAAACACTGTAAAGTATGAACTATTTATAATACAGAGGAGAAAATTTTACTGGCATAATTTTTGCCATTATGTTCAATAAGCAAAGTTTTTCTATTTTAGGTGCCTTAAACATTTTCCTTTTGAAGAAGCCACCACCTTTCAACGGGTCTGAAAGCTGACTGAAGAGGCTGCTCAGGTTGCCACTTCTCTCAGCCGCTCTAGAAGGATTTATAGGTTCCTCTGTGCTCAGACAACTGCTGCCTCCCCTTTCTCAAGCAGACGTGCACCAATTTTAGCTTCCGTAACTGTTGCCGTTGTGGACACCCTCAGAACGACAGAAGAGGCAAAATCAGTAGGAACTGGACACAGGGAGAGAGGAATTTCGGTGATGGATAGAGGCTCAGTACTAGGTTTGGGTTTGTTACATGTGTGGGTGCGATTCAACTCCAACTCAAATACCTACTTTTAGTCATCTTCATGCCCAAATGAATCTGTAGGTAAGTGAGCTGAATGTTTAAGCTCCTGATAGATAATACTATTAGAATCAAGCACATGTTTTGGGTCACTCTAAGGTAGACAACCACATTAGGACAACTGGGTCATTCTCCAGTTTTTATTAACTTGAGCTCTGATGCCAGCAGGATCTACAACACCTGGATCCCAGGTAGGAACATATGCATATGGTGTGTGTGAAGGGCTGTTGATGATGGAAGACTTGATCAAATAGGGAATGCATATATACAGCAGGAGGGCTATACTTGTGCAGGTCATAGGGAGGGAGCTGCACTGGATTTGGTAGACAAGAGGAAACCCTGAGAGAATATTATAGCTGGCAGAAAAAAAGCTAAAATGCCTTTTGTGAAAGACTCTGAAAAGTTGTGGCCACTTTCAATCTGCTTGATTGAAACAAAACTGTTATATTAAACCAAAGGATTTCCTGACATTTTTGAGGAGAAAAATACTGCAGTTTTAAGAGCTATCACAATTTGCCTAGTTTAATTTTCACTTTTTTCTTTTACTAGCAAAGGTAGTAAAATTAATTTTATACAAAACTTAATCCCCCAGATACACATGCACACATACGCTCATTTTTTCTTGACCTTCAGCTTTTACATATCTGCAGTTTGTCCAAGTTTGTCTAATTTAGAAAGTTACAGTTTCAATTTTTCTTTGTCAGCTACAAAGTTTTTTCCAAATTAAGAAAGCTTCCCTCTTAAAATGACAGAAAGGAAAAACAGTATCAAAAATACATACAGATAGAAAAAAATGCTCACTTTGTATTCTGTTATATTGACTGGGACTATAAAGGTAAATAAAGAAAGGGAAAATATAAGTGAAAACAGATCAAGCAATATGTTACAGGTTGTGGAAGTTTTCAATTCCATGTAATTTTGAAAAATCCTTTGGAAAACTATTTTCTTTTGAACCTTCAAACCTTTATGGGTTATTTTTTTTCTATTTGAAAAAATCTTACAAATCAAGGCTTTTAGGCAGCCATCAGCTTTATGTCAGTATTATATATGATTGTGGGAAAACCATGAGGTTTTCCTTTTTTTTTTTTTTCTTCTTTGTAGCCAATTTTAATCCAGGTCAAAGACTGTATGCACCAGCAAAATGAGACAACATACAGAGTCATTGAAATACTTGAAACTCATACTGAATTCCAGTTCTCAGACAACATAACTGCATTAAACACATGAAAGAAATGCTGCTTTATACTCAGGTAAGGATTTAGTTGTCAGGGTTAAATCATAGGACTCAGTCTTACTCTACAGTGGGAATCTACTCCAAATGTGAAGCCGATGTCTGTTAATCTCCCCACCCCCAGGATTATAGTGCCATCACAGAGACACAGTCAGCTGAGAGAAGAGGAGGAAGGAATTTCCTCACTTTCTTATCCAGACCTCTGAGTAGGAGATGCTGAGAGAGGAGCACAACTGGTACTGTAGCTGGGGAGGCAAAACACTGTGGGACCAGATGAAGCTGCTGAGATGTGATTCACTTCAAACTTCTTTGTGGTCGGAACTGTAATTTGGAAGGTGAAGACCAGAACATAAAAAAAAAAAAAAAAAAAAAAAAAAGAAAACAGAAGAAAAACAAACAAAACCACAAACAAACAAACCCAACAAATCAAGATCTGTTGCATAGGGATGAAATTGTTTCTCAGTAAAGCAAAGGATTTCACTGCTCTCTTCACCACTCTGATCTTGTGAATATGGAAGATGTATAACCCCTTCCTTAATCTGGGTGGGCAACGACCAAGGATCAGCACAGTACATTGGATTTTTACACAAACTAGAATGGGGTTCAGCTCCCTCTAACAATAACTGCCTCTCTTTCAGACCAACATAGTACATGACTCTTTCTGTTCTAGAGAATGTAAATTTATTAAACCTTTCCCTCCATCTGGTACACTTATGCGGAAAAAGTAGTGATGAATGACTACCCTATGTTGAGACAGCACCTATCTCTCCCTATTGCAATGGGATATAGGTCTTAAGTTCAATATAACGGTTCCGTAGTCCCGTTCATGTGATCTTTGAAACTCTTCAGCTCCAAAAATCACAATTGGATTTCTGTGTCTTTCCTCTGGCACCTAACTCAGTGACTTCAGTCTTTGGAGCTTTTATCTTTAACTCAAGGTAAACTTTTTCTGCTCTTTTATTGTTCCTTGTGTCCATGGTGACTTGCTGTTATTCCATTGGAATCAAACCCCTATTTACTTCCTCTTCCTTATTCACATATCCTTATCACTACTTTCAGACTCATTCTTCCCCCCTTCCCTTGCTTTGGCTTTGATCCATTTTACTCCTCAGTCATTCTTATCATCCTCTGATTCTCATTCCTGTGACTTCTGTTCCTTTTCAGATGCTTCCTCCTGCACTGGGATTTTCTTCCTCTAGCAATGACCCTGCCTCTCAGTAGGACCCCTTATGTTTTTCCACATTGAGGACTCTGAGCATTTGCAGCAGACAGAAGCCTGTGCCTTCATGTCTCCATCCTTACAGGTTTCCTACTAGAACACACTGTCTCTTACTCTTCACTTTCTTTGCTTGAGTCAGCATCCGATGGATTACAGAACCAATGTAGCCCCTTTCATCTCTTTTAGCACACCCTCCCACTTCCCCCCCTTCTCAGGCTCTCTTGTCAAATTATTTATAGGACATTGATTCACAGACCTGCTATGTCTAATTATATCCATTCACTTCTAATATAAATGGCAATTTTGCTAGGAGTTAAGATTGCCAAAAATGTTTTGACCTAAGAAAGAAGAGGTGGTGGCTACATATGCAGATCAGATTCTATAAAAGTACTCTGGGATCAGTGTGTCGTGTCCTTCCTCAAAAACCTCTAAGGTAAGAGTTTCAGGGACTTGGGACTGGGGAAGTGGGGGATGAAGGAAAACTGGCCCTGCATTCCACAAGCACCAGTGCATTCCTATAGATGCTCACATTTATTCAGTGGGGGTCTGTCAGTGTCAGCTGGGATTTTCAATCTGGTTTCAAGGCATCCATATGTTTTCAGTCTATAAATGTTGTCTGCGGTGCAGCAGTAAGAAGGAAGTTACTAATTCTCTTTTTTAAAACTGACCAGCTTCCAATCTACAACCCATTCAACTTGTCTCACAAAAGGTAAGATCTTGATTTATTCACTCTATAGGGGCAGGCAGAGTTGCTCTAAGGCAAGGATTCTATGGAGGTATGCTGGTAATCCCTGTATTCAATATGTTTATGTCCACTGTATAAATACAGTACGAGAACTGGGCTGGATTGCTGATATCTTTATCACAAGATTCTTAAAGACAGTGATCTTAAAAGTACTGATCACTGCTGCATTGCCTACATTCTCCCCAAGAATCTCCAGTAGAGACCAGTTTCCTGGAGAAACTGTCCTAAGAAGAAATACCCCATCAGAAAGCAGTTTCCAATTACTTTGTGAGGTTTTTTGCATTTACCTCAAACATCAAGGGTAACTGGCACTGGCTGTGAAGCAACAGGAAAAGACATACATATTTAAATAATGTTAATATTTTCTTTTTTCACATGGAAGTTGGAGGAACAGGGTTAGAATTTTGCATATCAAAACATCAAAGTGATTAAAGCAAGCATTTCATCCTGAGCTTCCTTATAGGCTTGTTTCTGCCTATGAATATGTTGCATAATTGTGACATAATTATATAGGTAAATATTTGTAATCACAGGGAACTGAAGAAAGGATGATACCTACTGGGATAACTGGAAAAAGAGAGATGGGATAGCAACTAAATTTGAAGTTTTAAAGATTTGCACCCAGGAAAATAAACTGCTCACAATTTATTTTTTACATTAATTTATATTAATTTTGTCAAATATTGTCATTAGAATATATCCCCCAAAATTATAAAATGCCAACAAGCAATCATGTGTAAGGAATATAACTAGCATGCTTTGAATAAGTGGAGGAGAGTTAGCATAGCACTGATTTCAGGAAAACTCAAAACAGTCAAAAGAAAATAGTTTAATTATTTAAAAAGTCAATATACTCACAGATTGCATACATATATTATATGCTCACATAATGTATACTGACCTACTATATATATTATACTTTTTAATAATACCATAAGGATGTATTGTGATAAAAGCTTACAGTGTCTATAAAATAACACAATGTACAATATGTATGCAATATACATAATATAAACTAATATAATACAATATATAATAACACAATATATGCTGACATAGTATATACTAATATCTGTAATATGGTAATGTTATTCGTCTTAGGAATAGTTATATGATTCCTGTTAGGAATCTTGTAAGAAAATGGGAGTATTATAGGTATTATAGGCAATATTAAAATTGCAGTCAAAAAACTAGGACCATTTTTCAACTATATGTAATTATTTTGTGAAATGGTCTCATTTGAGTTATAACACATTAATCAAGTGGAAAAACATGTAGTTAAAAACAAAGCCATGTCAGGAAATTGTACCATTCGTTTGAATTGATAGCACCTATTTGTGTCGTGAAGTCTCTGCTGGCACAGAAGGCAAAGCAATTTTTTTTTACATGTAAGCAGGGGAACATTGAGTAGAATGAATTTTATACAAATTTAATTTTGTACAAAAATACTGTGATCATTGTTAAACTTGTTTCTGTTAGGCTGGCCATACTGCAATAATGAGGTTACTAAATGGTAAAGGGTCCAGAAAAAAGTTTAAAAAATATTCTAAGTCCATAATATCCTTTCTGCAATCAAAGTGAAAATGTTTCTCAAGGAAAAGTTAACCAATCACTTGATTTTCACCTAGACATCTGCCATAGGTGAAAGTATTGATAAAGAAGTCAACTTCTTGATTTATTCAAAATCCAAATTGTAGGTGATGAACACACATAACATTAGACTAAAAAAAACCCAAATCATTTGGACCAGAATCATAGAGTGGTTTGGGTTGAAGGGACCCTAAAGACCACCTAGTTCCAACCCTCTGCTGTGGGCAGGAACACCTTCCACTAGACGAGGTTACTCAGGGTCCCATCCAACCTGGCCTTGAACACTTCCAAGGATGAGGCAGGCACAGCTTCTTTGGGCAGCCTGTGCCAGGGCCTCACCACCCTTGTTGTAAAGAAATTCTTCCTCATATCTAATCTAAATGCATCCTATTTCAGTTGGAAGCCATTCCCCCTTGTCCTGTCACTCCAGGCCCTTGGCCAAAGTCTCTCTCCAGCTCTCTTGGAGCCCCTTTAGGCACTGGAAGGGGCTCTAAGGTCTCCTTGGAGCCTTCTCGTCTCCAGACTGAACACCCCCAGCTCTCCCAGCCTGACTCCAGAGCAGAGGGGCTCCAGCTCTCAGAGCATCTCCCTGGCTTCCTCTGGACTCACTGCAGTAGGTCCATGTCCTTCTGATGTTGTGGACCCCAGAGCTGGAGGCAGAACTTCAGGTTCAGGAGTGGAGCAGAGGGGCAGAGTCCCCCACTCCCCTGCTGCCCATGCTGTGGGATCAGCCCAGCACACCGTTGGTTTCTGGGTCCCACCACACACGGCTGGGGCATGTCAAGCCTCTCACCCATGAGCACCCCCAAGTCCTTCTCCCCAGGGGTGCTTCCATCTGGTCATCTCCAAGCCTAGTTGGATACCGGGGGTTTCCCTGACCCAGGTTCAGGACCTCGCTCTTGGCCTTGTTGAACTTCATGATATTTGTACAGGCTCACCTGTCCAGCATGTCAAAGTCCCTCTGGATGGCCTCTCTTCCCTCCAGCATGTTGACTGCTATAAACCTAAATTCCAGCTTCACAATTGTGTGAAAGTCAAGACAATACAGTCAAGACAATTATTGGGCAATAACAAACAGATACTAATTGGCTGGGTTTTTTTAAAGTAGTGAATGAACTCAAGCTTTTTTATTACGAAATAGAATAATCAGCTTTGTTTGCTGGATGTGTGAAATAATTGAAATATTTTACAACTTGGACTATTTTATCCAAAAGGAATGTCCTTAATAAGAAGTGCTAATAATACTTTCTCTGTACATATTCACTGTATTGTGCCTCTTACAGTGTTTTATTGTAAACAAATCACATTCTCTGAAAGGTGATAAACAAAAATTATATGAGAAGGCTTTCACAATTACAAAATCGGGAGTATCTATTGAGTGCAGGGTTTGGAACCTTGGGAAGGATCTCTCTATCCTGTTAATACAACAAATGACGGCTCTTGGCCCGACCTGGCACGTGGGCGCGCCGCGCGGCCCGGCCCCAGGTGCGGAAAGGAGAGAGAGAAGGGGAGCTTCGCCGGCGCGGACTGTGCCCTCATGGGAGATGAGAAGGGGAGCCTCAGAGCACACAGAGGAGAAGGACAACTCTAAACCCGGGCAGATGGAGCTCGCTTAGCCCTGTAAGGCCATCCATCTAAGAGAAGGTCACTCTAATTAAACCTATGTTCTGAGGACCTCGCTGCCACCCTCCAAGCTCGCTCGGCCCTGGCAGATGAACCTCAGGATTAA